CACTTCCTGCCTGCTTTAACAGCTCTGGTTTTTGATGCCATTCCACCAGTTCAGATCCAAAGGTTTTCACACAGATGTACAAACAGGTATCTGTTGCCAGTAGAGAGCAATCAAAATTGCCAAAAGAGGCTCCATCAACCTGAGAACCTTGTCTTCCACCACCAACCTGAGAGCCCTGTTACCAGCCAGAGTGAGTGAATTGAGCTCCCTCCTGCTGGAGTCTTGTCGTGGCCAGAAGCTTTGACAAGTCTCTTGAATACAAGTGAAACCACTATACTTTCCATTTATGTTACATTCTGACCAGGCTAACCAAAAGCTACTTTTTGGTGCTACTTCCATTAATAAAGCTGTGTACGTTTCATTTCCTTAAAATGTAAAAACAATAATAATTATGAATGTATAAAGATAAAATTTTCCAATACAATCATTTCACAAATAATTCCAGAGCTGGAACATCACAAATTTATTTTGAAACCTTAAAACCATTTCTGTTTAAAAATTCACAAAGATAAGATTTCTCGATTACAATTAATTTTTGTTATTTTCTGTAACATTTGTTACAAACAGATAGCTTCTCTTCACAGAAGCTCCTAATGTACAGCGAATGCTGAGCATTCCCTCAGAAGCTTGCATGTGCTCATAAAAGACACTATCAGAACAGATACCAGTTGCCCAAGGATGAGTGCTGACATTTTTTTCTGTCTATGCTATTACATTCTAGCTATACTTGACAAGCAATTACTTGGTGCTTTATGTTCAATTATATTGTGAAATGTTTATAGTTTGTAATGGGTACCTTATCTGTTCAGACTATCTCTAATTTGATGAATTCCTCTGGGAACAGTTTAAAGCAAAGGCAATGTCCTTAATGATTATTATGGCTCAGAAATTGTATCGTAAAACCCGATTTCTCCACTATTCAGATGCTCAGTAGATCCTGTAGCTATGCTTACGCAGGCAAGGCCTTCGTAATGACATACTGACTCGTGACTTTCCGTTTTCAGGTGCTCATATGCCAACAGTCAATAGTTATCTCACTCCTTCACTACATGTAGAGCGAAGGCTACGAAAGACTTTTTGTATGCCATGGAACATATTTAAGCTTTATCAAGAATCTGATTTAGAATTACTGATTAATCAAGAGAATAAAAATGTATTTTAGCTCTTATAAAGCCTGCATTAAGAAATTAAAAGCACACAAACAACCAGCTTAAGCCCAAAGAAAACAGTTCAAAAAGGTTCAAATCAAGGAGTCTACACAAAACCTCAGTGTCTTTATCCTTCCTGAAAATAAGTACTGAGAATAACCAGGCAATAACAGTCTTAATGCAAAAGTCAACATCCAGTTCAGAAAGACAGAGGATCCACTCCCCAGCAGGACCCTTCTCACAGAAGCAGTAATTCTGCCCGTCTCTGCAGTGTTGGTTTTTGTTGTTGTTGTTGTTGTTGTTTCATACAACAGTTTGAGGACAGAGGAAGGGCATGGTTCGTAGATAGATTTCACAACTTTTACTATATTAACTAGCAGGGTTGTAAGAATCAGGCAAGCTTTCAGAAATACAAGTCCTTTCAGCACCATGTATGCCCAAAAGCTTGTTTTATTTCTCCAATTACACAAGCTTGCCTTAACAAAAAAGGTAACATTTCTGCCTCTAAACCTTGTCCTGTCTTGTCTGTGCAGACAGGAAAGCAGGAGAGATCTGCAGTACCACTGCAGTTTACATCAGCGTGTGCCTTGGACCACGGAGGAGCCTGTAGCCAAAAGGCATTGTTACAGCATCTCTCTACCTCAAGATTTCTTAAGCGTCCACAAATCACAGCTTTTCCAGAAGGCAATGACTGATCCCTAAGCTGTCAAGACTTCTTTTCTAACCATAAAAGAAATCATAGTAGAGATTCAAATGTCAGTTACAATTAAAACATATCTGTATCTATAATTTCTCCTATTTTCTTAGCAGTAACACTACAAACCAACAAACACTGCTGAAAAGGTATATTTGTTTGTTTTTATTTTTAATGGACCTCTGGAAAGAGTCTGTTTTGCCAGAACCGTTCAGAACTTTTACACACAAGTCCAAAAAGGTGGACAGAAAAAAAGGAAGGACTTCTTTTTAACATAGAAAAGAGGACTTGTAACTTCCTTTTGCTCTAAAACAAACCCAAGATAAGAGCCGTCCAGAGACTTATATAAAACAATGCAGTATGAAAAGCAATAGTTCTTGAATATTTTTTTTTTTTTTTAAAGGACTGGGTTCTTTTGAAAAGCTGCAACTAAAAATAATTCATTGGACAGCCCAGCTGAGACATGTTTATATCCCTTCCCACTTCTAAATCCTGTGCTAAAGCAAACAGGGTATTTTTTGCAGTTACAGTCATGTACTTGGACAATCCAAAAAAATTAAACAAATGAGCAGTTTACTTTACGATTATAGTTAAAACTGCTATGCATACTCTCTAATGTATTCAGTAGGCTACTTAATTTGCTGCATCAGAATTTGCATACTCTTGCGCTACTTTTTCACCATTTCAGTCCAGAAACTAGCATACCAAATCTTACTAAAATACATCAAAGATGACTTATTAGTTAGCACAATGAAAAATAAACATACGCAAAATAATTTTGAAAACACTAATAATTTTAAAAACATCAAGTGCCACAGAAGCCATTAGCCTTTTAATACAGTAGAAACCCATTAACAGAACGCCCACATCAGCACCATCCAACCAATTTGATTTATAGGCACCTTGTAATCTTTCAGTGGAAGATACGCATCCATTTTTAATTGTTAGAATTCTGAGCATTATGTTGATGAGAATCAAGACTATAAATATTATCCAAAATGTAAAAAGTATCTATCACAAAATACATAGAACAAACGGAATAATACGCTTATTTTAATCCCTTGCTCTTCCCTAGAAACTACAAAAACATCATGACGTTAATTAAAATATTGTAACAGCTACTTCCTAGTTTCCAATGCTAATAACCAACCTTGAAGCAATTGTAAAAACAACCCTGGCTCAGGCTACCAAGCACTTTGTTCACAGTTATTGTCTCATCCAATGAATCATACAAGTGCACCACTGTAATGTGCCTGCCAGTAATTCAGTCCCAGGGATTTTACATTCTTACTCGTTCTGATACGCTGTAGGCATTGCTTCTACAGACAAAAAAGGAGCTGTGTACCAAAAGGTTCCAGGAATCTTTTCAGCAATCATAAAAACACCGCAAAAATACATGACTAGCATCCACCTTCATGACCTGCTTAAAAATAGGCTCATGTTCTTGCCCAAAGCACAACACTGCTTTACCTTTTCCAGATTTTCACTCTAAAACTGAAATACAGTGTACTGCTCTGCCTACAGCATATTGCTTATTATATTCCAAACCGAAAGCTTCTAGCTTTCGTGTTTTCACTTCTCATGCTCATTCATTAAAGCACTTCATGCTTTATAACTGAAGCACAGTGATATTACAGCAGGAACATATGTCAGAAAAACAATAAACTTCACTTGTCACACTAGCCTTAAGTGGAGCCATTCCAACATTTTATTTAAAGAATCTTTCAAGAGATTAACTTAAAAGGAAAATATTTTCTAAAGAAACAATCTTCTTGTCCATTACACTGTTTACCTTTCACCAGTAACAAACCCAGCATTACAGTTTCATTCCCTCCCAAACCAGTGATTATCCTCTAAGAAACAGGACAATGTTAAGTAAGTCCAGTGAAGAGTTTTGCATAATACATCATCCTGTATGCACAAGCTTTCCTCCACACCAATGCTCAAAAAATCTGGCAGGAGCCAAACAGCCACCACAAAGCTAACTGCCCGAAAAGCAATTCCCTTCTTTAAGTATGATACATTTGACACCATCACATCAGCCTTGTAGCCCCATGCAGAGAAGTAAATTGCTAGCCTCTATTCTAGTCTTTCACACATTTGTTCCAAACCAGGAAGATTTCTAGAAACACAACCTTATTTATTATTATTATTAATGATAGGCTTGGCCAAACATAATTTAAGAACCCACACCCAAAAACTTTCACACAGAACATTCTCATTTGAGACTCGAATGCCAATCACTGGGGAAAGGACGTACAAGTGGCACGGCTCAGCCTGCACAGCAATGATGCTGTAACCCAGGAAAAGAATGTTATGACTGACTGCATAAATATAGCTAAATTAACCAGAACCAGAAAGCAGCACGCACACCAGCAACTTTCTCACTTAACTGGCACACGTTAGGTCTAGCCCCATAGTTCTGTGTTCTGCAACAAGACTTCACGTCCCCATTAGCAGCACTTCTTCTGGTGCTTCCAAGACACATATTAAGCAAAAGCAAAAGTGGCCATTGTATCTCACGTTTCAAAAAACAAACCCCAATATGCAAATAAAAGATATACTGATAACTCAAGATGGCCCAAAGCAGATTGCTGGATGCAAACACCGCTCTTTCCCTTGGGAAAAGTTGCCTCTACATTTTTTTGACAGAATTTCATACAAATATGTACATGAATTTGTCTTTTATCTGTAACAATATATATAATATACAAAACACTCCTGTCCATACACACTTGAGTGCAGACCTACACGTCACTGTCACCTGCTGCAAAACAGTTCAGTCTGTGATTTCATAAAAACTGATAGGCTTTGCCTAAGCAACTCTTTCACCCCTCTGCCTTTCTATCAGTCTTCCAAGACAGACTTTAATATTGTGTAAAAGCCATCAGCTATCAAAGCTTTCAAAATTCTGACACGCGTTTGTTGAATTTGCTGGAAACTGGGCAAATTCCAGATCCACTTTCAAAGAACATCCTCACCATAAGCCTCATGCTTTTCAGTTTACCATAAAAACTCCAAACACATCTGGATTAGTCCCGAGCCTCCTCCATGCTCTCCCACCACGTTACATCCAGAAACACTACAAAAGAATTAATGCTATCATTTCCAAAGCCAGCATCACTCAATCTTTGAATCATAACACACGGTTTGCTTACCTCGCTGTTGTGGCCCCTCAAATTGAAGTTGATTCTCTGAGGGGTGTTCCGGTCCCTCCTGCAATGGCTGGAAGTAAAAGTGACGCCTACAACTCCTCTGCCATTGCCTGTTGCCAACCAGCCTTCCTCATAGTACCGCCGCCTGCACACGGGTTTCTCCTTCTCACTTTTGGGGACTCTCCCTTTCCAGGAGAGGCAGAGGATGTTGGAGTCGCTGCAAAGAACAGGCCCATGTTCCACTGCTGCATACATGCTTTTTAAATATTTTATTTTTTGACATAGGAAAGTAATGTGTCTAGCGCACAAAATTTAAACCAATTTTTTTGTTTTTTATTGATAAGACTGACCTGGGATAGATCATTGAAAGGGAGGAGGATGGGGTCAGTGTTTATAAATATCCACCAAATGCATAGTGAAAAATTCCTCTATAAAAGATGATGGCAGTTGGCTAAGAAAAAGTAACACTTAAAAAAAAAATTCAGGTTCATTTTTTGTTGTTGAGTCTGTAGAGTGAGGGTGCACTTATCCTTTGGAGAGACAGCTACTTCGTAAGAGGCGCTCAAGAAATGGTTAAGTCATCTTTTTGCTCAACTTGATATAATCTTTATACAGCCTGAGATTCCAGTTTAGCGTAATGCAATTCCAGAGACAAAGAGTTGCAAATGTGTAGGTTTCAAGTAACTTAAGGCTTTTAAGATTTCCTCCAGTCAGATTTTCTTCAGAAGTTCAGTTGCAGAAATTTAAACACACGCACATACATATGTATATATATGACATTCATCTTTTCCAAGCTGCCCTCTGGCATATCTTTTCCATCTGACGTATTTCTGCTGCTAAAGCTGAAAGAGATTGCATAAAGGGAAAAAAAGGCACACAAACCGTGCGAAACAACAGACCCAAACTTGTGCAGGCACTGGTGTGCCAGGCCAGATGGGAAATCCCTCTTGGTACTGAACCGCTCGTTGGATTCAAACGTTTTTGCAATCCAAAGCCAATCCAATTTTCATTGCAGCACTTTTTTTCCACCAGAGACCCAACAGAGCCTGAACCGTTATCACGCTATCTTGCCTGCTTTCCCACTTTTTGCTGCCACACACGAATGACAAAGAAACCCCCTCTTCATTTACAGCGGAATCAAAAATGCTCCAAAGCTCTTAGCTTTTAAAGCAGATAAGTTTGCCTCAGGTGAACCATGAAGTTCTCTCTCTTCCAAAACAGGCTTAAATGTCAAGCTGTTTTTCCTTTACTTTTCCCTTTTTTTCTGCTACAAGGAATCACAGACTTTTCATCCTACCAAAAACAAATGCCAGAATTAAAGCACATCAAGTAAGCAATCTTTCAAAATCTTCTAGAATTCAAGGAAGGAAGAAACATATTCATCTAAAAATGAAAGAGAAGCAGCATTAAAAATCTGACTTCCTGGTTTCACTATTTCTCTAGGTATTTTCCTTGCTTGTTTTATCGGATCTTTCCTTCTTGATGCTTGTCTACAGCACAGATTCATAGTTCCAGACACAACATTTGCAGCTGTACAAGAAGGAAACATATGAAGTATTCCAATCGTTTTATTTGAGTAACATTTATGAGCTCAATTCATTAGTATGTATATCACACTAAGTGAAAAGAGGAAAAAGGAGAGGAAGAAAGAATACGTAAGACGATGACCTGGTTAACTCAAGAAGGATGATGAGGATTCTTCAGTTCAATGCCCAGACTTGTCCCATAGTTCCTCAACTTACTTACTTTCAGTCATCATCGCTCAACATATAGTCACGATTTATTAGTCCATTCAGAAACTACTGAGCCCAAAGCATACCATGCCAAAGACGATACATTATGCCCCTGCAATTATAAAATCACTTTCCTTCGCCCTCAGTATTCTTACGTTTCCCTCACAATTATTGATTTAGATTGTGGAGGTATTTCTTAGACTTTTTCTGTGTGGAGAGTGTTTTTTCTTCCTTTTTTTGCAAACTTTTTTCACTTGTGAAGACCATGTAGTAAGTTGAATATTACTGGCAGGTGTTTTTCCATGGGTTACCAATTCCTGTGCTGTAAAGGTGCTCCATCTGGTACTTAAATTAATTTTCATCAATTGCAAAGCCCTCAGGAATACGTGAAAGTCAGTCTATGCGATGACAAAAACATGTGCGCTTTCATGTACGTGCAGTACATACACCAGCTTGGTGAACCTGGTACTCAGAGCTGCAACTGCCTTCTCAGCTTAGCTATGGTAATCTTGTAAGGTGCCTGTCACTCAAAGCTTGAAATCTCAGTCTTCTTCCAACTCTGCAAGACAAAATGCACACAACACACAGGAAAAAAAAAAGAGAAAAGTGAAAAAATAGGAAAGTAAGCCACAAAACAATGTAGAGATATAGAAACTACTGTGATAATAAACAAAACATGACTTTTAATTATTTTATATAGCGCTTTTATATGAAATATCTATATTGTATGTAGATACATGCGTTATTCAGACACGAAGTACAGTATTTTCTTCTCCACAATTCATATGCATAACTGATGAAACGTTCTCAAGAAAGACACAAAAGGAAAAAAACAAACTTTTTTTTTTTTTTTTTTTTTTTTTACTGGAATTGCTGGGACGAACTCCTAACAAAGACCCCACAATTCCATGGAATGAGGACCGCAAAGGGAGGTGTCAGTGACAGAACAGACACACAGATTCCAAGGGTCTAAAAGAACCACAGACAGATTGAGGTTGGCAGGGACACCTCTGGGTCCATCCAGCCCAACCCAAGCTCAAGCAGGGACATCCAAATACCTCTGAAGTATACACGCCTATGCAGTTCTTGCTTCTGTACAACTCTTGCTAAAGAGATCTCATTTAAACAAAGAATTGCATCGGTTGCATTCATTAGCACTGTAAAAATGGGCTTGCCTACACTACCTGTAACACTGTACTAAACTCACTTTCTGAGTAACCACTTTTTTTGAGTCAACCATAGATGTACCTATAACAATTTAAAATATCTGTATCTATAGACATAGATAACAAGGCAAGGATACAACGTAGTTTACAAAGCAGTTAGAAAAACTGTCCCTGAGGTTTGGTGAGTCGCTACTGAAACTTTTAAGCATTACAACTAAACAAGATATAAAAATAATGGCTACTACCATTTTCTTTCATCATAGCATGGCTTTGTACAACCTTTGTACGCAGTTTCTGTCCTCATTCACTGCATAGAAAATCAGCAAGTTTGAGGAAAGGGCCCTTCTGCATCTTGGACAGTAACCCACTCTCATCTGAGTCTGATTCATGATCAATTTGAGGATTAGAGAAACAAAAGGCTTCTCAAAAATATTCTAACTGTGTTAGGAAAGCCGGACAGGCAGAGATGAAAATATCTAACTACAAAACATTCAGTCATTATTCAAGTATCTATCAATAATGTCCTGTCTACAAGACTGCATTTATATTTAAATCATTGAAGGTCAACACTACCTTTATGTTGTACTTGAATTCAGTAGACAAGATTTAAAAATACCTTTAAGACTGTAATTCAAAAAGATAGGCTGAATTAAGATTACATACATATTAAGATTTAGTTCTTTCCACTCTCCTTTATTTCCATCTGCTGAATATTTCCTAAGAAATAACCTAATTAGAAGATTCAGATGCAAGTCTTCCCCCAGGGAAGTCAGTATCTGATTTAGACATACACACCATTTTTCTTTTGCCCTTACAGCAGTCCCATAATCCCGCTCTTCTCTACAAGTTTAAAGCATGCTTTTTGCCTTCTTTTTCCCCTCCAAGAAACACAAATGAATGGTAACCACCTCTGTTGCAAGGCATGTGGAAGAAGGTGAGGATAAAAAGCCTTATATAAGAGCTAGCTGCTACTTCAGTATAATCTTACCACTTGCCTGAATGCAGGTTGGGCTCTGCATATAATGAGAATTTAGCTTTTCAGATCAAACTTTCAAACTACAGTTCTAATAGTAGGTTTTTAAAGCTCTATGCACCTATTCTTTCAGAGTGGGAAAGGTGCACATCATGGAAGTTCACTGGATTATGAAGCAGCTGTTTTTAGTTATTTCTAAGCGCTAGTTGGACACCAAATATCAACAAATTGCAGCAATCTGGTTTTACTCTCACTTAAAGAGCAGATTAAAATTTCTTTGTTCTGGAAGATGCTACTTAACCCATGCTCTAATACGATTCATAGCCCAGCGATGTAAAATTAGGTAATTATCTAATGATACAAAAAATATTAGACCTGCAGCACAGGAAAAAGGATCTACAATTATTTTGTTTTGCTGTGCGGTATAGCTCTTCTTGAATGCAAAACCAGCAACAAGTTATGTTCTGACATTACAGGAATAAATTCAAGTATTAATTTAAGGCAGAAAAAAAAAGGTTATTAGCAGTGGCTCTCCTACTTGTGTCAATATTTAACCCAATTTAACTCCTAAGTGTTTCCATTAACTTATATAAGAATATAAGCTTTAAGCTAGTTAGACAACCAGAAAAATATTTGCTTGTTCTCATGCATCTTTCATTGAGGTGTCTCTCTTTTGTTGACAGAAAGAAGTCACGCACAGCCAAATATACCAGACTGCAGCAAGCTCTTCAGCATTTTATGTTTATTCAAAACCCCACTCTTCACAGCTTACAGTCGGGTATCTGAAGGTGAGATTACAAGGAGACTGGGAGGGAAGGGAAAGCAGAGAAAGAAAAACGAAAATGCAGACAAGTACACAGTATTCTAAATTATTAATTACCTTATTAAAAAAAAAAAAAAAAAAAGAAAAAAAAAGAAAAACAAAAAAAAAAAAAGAACAAAAAAACCCCCTCACAACTGTTGTCGGCAATGCAACGCACCACAGCCTGCATTTTCAAGATCCTGACCACGCAAAAATCTTATGGAAAGAACTGTAAGCTACAGAGTCTTTGAAAAGTCAAGCTACCATATTTCAGGCTATTTAGCCTAAGCAATTTTCTTCCTATAAAACTTGCATGAGATCAAAAGAAACAGCAGTTTTCCCTTCCTCTGCCATGCAAGAAGGGAAAAATAAAACACCTCTATCAATGAAGATTGCAAGATACTTGAGGTAATGAAAGCAGACCAGTTCTGAAGGATCAAACCACAACTGGTTCTGCACAAGCTGACAGCAGATGATCCCGCCAGCTATCGAATAGTGGTTATGGGATTAACCTTCAAGGTTACTGCTAAAACAAAATACTACATACTCTCATAATACAGACATTCTATTACAAACCATATACTACAGAGCTAGAAGCTAGCCAGGCATAACACTTTTTTGTTTATGCAGTCCAATTTACAAAGCAACATAAATGGAGTACTCTTATTCAAGTGGAACAAAAACTCTTTATCAATATTAACTACTCGGTTCCTAAAGGACCTAAGTAAGATAACTGGTTTGTGCGGGCAAAAAAGCCAATTCCGTAAAGAAAAAGATATAAATTTTGACCTGAGCAAGTACTGTTTTTTCTTTTCTTTCACTCATCTCCTCTAATTATGTTTGTTTCATTCACCTTCCATTGTGCTGCAAGTCACTGAGGTTCTCATCCTTCTTTAATATTACAGAAAAATACACAGTTTGGAGGACTATAATACCAGAAAGGCTGTAAAGCTGTTCTCCATGCCAAGAAAGACAAAAAACAAAAAAAGCTAGAACAAGCTTAATTTGTGTTCCCTTTGTTCTTAAATGGCTACCTTTCCATAAATTTCATACTTCTGCAATTTCAGAAGTTCCTCCCCTGCTCCATGGCAGCTGTATGGCCTGGGCGGAACAGTAAGTCATGCTGGTTTGAGATGTAAAGACATCAGTAACCCCAGTAGAGCTGCACAGAAACAGGCAAGTGGCAAAGGTGTAATACCAGCCACTGCAATCGTAAGTGCCAGTGCATTAACAGAGATGCTGTAATGTCAGTCATATATGGCTATATATTCATAAGAAAATGAGACAGAAAATACATCTCTTGGCAAATGGAATGAAATGAAGCTTACATTAGCAGTTGCTCAGCAGATATCCATTGTGAATATTGACATAACTTATTTCAACACAATATTCCAATAATGAAACACCATTAAAATGCTTTCAGGAAAACCGTTTTCAAGAAAAACAGCAATGGTCCTTAAGTAAACTGTCAGAAGCTATTAATTGGGTATTGCCAAATTTACATATTTTGGAAAAGGAAGGGGCCTGGAAATATGAAAAACAGTAAACTGTTAAAAGTCCAGCGTACAGAAGAAGTGAGGTAAACAAGCAGTTACACTGTTCACGGTGAAAAGAAACTGGAAGAAGCCTAGCACCCTTCCTACCAGGCAGATCAGCAAGCTGATCTAGCTGAAAACATATCCTCCGAAACTAGCAGCTGACTCTCACCTGGACCAGCTACCTTACATCAGCTGAGCACACACACTCACAGCAGGGTAGGTGGCAGTGTGAGAGGTGAGTGCCACAGCAGCCCACATGGCTCTCAGCTGAAACTGTACTCAAAAGCTTTTCCTTTTTTGCTTGAAGCTGAATCAATCCTAGTGCAGGCCCAGCACAGTCCCGCATTCAGCAGTGCCAGTAAAACTGCAAAGGTGGTGGAGCTGTACAGCACAAGGGAGAAACAGGGGAGGAAAACTTGCAAACAGAATTGCATTTGAATGCTTTCTAGGGTAAAACGTGGGCTTAACGTTTCTGAACTCAATGTACTGCCCTCAGAAGGGAAGAAAGAAAAGCTTATCTCTAGGAGTGAATTTAAGATGGCCACCACAATGTCCTGGAGTAAAGGCTGGGACACATGCCATGCTTTCAGGTAACATGGAGTAGCCTGAAACACCTCAGAGGGATGCTGAAGGAGCTGTTTCAGAGTAGAAAGAACGTACTACCTTTGTTTTAAAAGTGAAAAATTACAACACTGGACCACGCACTCAAAATCCTTAGAGCTGGAAAAAAATGTAGCATGAACAAGAAAGTCCTTTCGCTTACAGGTATGAATCTTCTCTCTCAAAAAGGGATCAAAATCCGCACAGCACAGAGAACATCCGTATGATACATATTTCAGGGGACACTCACTTAAGAAGAGGAATCAACTGAGTCTTGTTAATGACACTGAAAAATGTTCAGCAGGGCCCCAGCTCTTACCACGTCTTTTCCAGTGAACTGAACGCACTGACCTTGCCTGTAATTACAGCGCAATTCCTTTCCCTGAGGAACACTCTGCAGCCTGCAAACATCCCTCGAGCCTGCAGCAGCTCTGTATAGTTCCTAATTATCTCCAAAATCTGTCCACAGGCTCTCTTAAT